CCGCCAGTGCCCCACAAACACCACGCACCACCAGTGCCCCCCAAATACCACACACCAACACATACATGCCACACATACCATGCACACACTCCACACACACGCCACACACACCACACGTCGCACACATCACACATGCACCACACATATTCTACATACACACCACATGCCACACACTCCACACACACCACACACACCAGACATACCACACATACCACATACCACACACACCTCAGAGGGGTATGTACACACACAACACAGGCACCTCAGACACCTCAGACCCACACCACACAACACATACCACAGTGGACGCACCACACAACACACACACAGCATACTGCATACAGCACATGCCGCACACACACCACGTGCAGCCTCACACTATGACACAGCCCTTCACGCACACAGCCTCACACAATAACATAGAGGGAGTCCAGGGTGGAGCTAGAATTCCTGAATAGCTGCCTGGAAGCCGCCTCCCCACTGAAGCTCCCTCACCTGAGCTCACAGCAGCAGCTTTTACAAGTGTCTGTGCCTCAGCCCACCTCAGTGATAGGCTAGAGCAACAACCTCACGTCTGTTTCCTGGCAAACACCTAAGTGATCTCACACTCAGGCAGACAGAAGGCACAGCAGTGGTCACCTGCTGGCCGTCAGCTGCAGTTAATGCCCAACTTCCACAGAGTCCACCAGAAATCATGGTGCCCACATGGGGACTGTCAGCCACCCCTCTGCTCCTAGTGGCTGACTGAACGGCAAACTCAGCTGCCACGGTGCCCTTGACGCTCTAGCAAGCACTTATCTGACCAGCTCCTCCCCCAGATGCTGAGGCCACAGTGCTGGAGCCACGGGGAGGTGCCTCACCGTCGTTGTCCAGCAGCACGTTCTCAGGCTTGAGGTCGCGGTAGACAATCCTCTTCTGGTGCAGGTGCTCCAGGCCGCAGATGATCTGTGCCGTGTAGAAAACAGCACGTGGCTCCAGGAAGCCGGGGTTCTCCTCGTCTACATTGTAGATGTGGTACCTGTGGGCAGACCACCGCGTGAGCTGTGCGCCCAGGGGCTTAGCAGGCAGTGACATTAGGTACAGGCATAGGCAGGCCTCAGCGTCGCTTCCTGTGCCAGCCAAATGTCTGGTCACTTTGGGGCAGACCCAGGGCCATGAGGGCTGAGGGCTTTAGCATCTCACAGACCCTTAGCTGGTACCTCAAAGGGGACAAAAGGGTTTCATGTCCGCTCCCCCTTCTGGCCCTGGGGGACAGCTCACAAAGCCGGCTGAAGGGACCAGACTGAGCCAGCCAGGAGACCTGCCCGAGCCACCCCACAATATGAGTAGCTCAGGACTCCAGAGGCACACATGGTGGCTTCACCAGCCTCTGCTGGGCTCCCTGATGGAGTCTGTAGCAAGACTTTTCTTCCCAGCCTTCTCCCTGCCCTGTATACTATCCTTTCTTGTGTGTCCACTCACACATTTGACAGAGAAGCAAAACCTAACAAAAGGAAATACATCATTTAAACTAGGTAGCATAGATGCAGACCAGGGACTGCAACCCATGTCAGCTAGCAGCAGTGGGGATCCTGCTGGAGATGGCTGAGCGCAGAGACGTCCATCCCCTTTTCCTGGAACTCTAGCACAGTCTAGACCTCTCATTGCTCCTCTGAAAGTGAGGCCACCCCAACTTTGCCTCAAGGAGACTGAGCTGGAAGCTGCAGACGGCGAGGGTGGAGCCTGACATTCTACCTGCAGCACCCCCCATGACGTCACATGTGCCAGACACCCTCTGAGTATTAGACTAATCTTCACAATGACCTTTGAACTCAACTGTAATTTATCTCCCTTTTACAGTCTGGGAAACTGGGGCAAAGATCTGCAGAGCTTCCTGGCTAGCGAGTAGGTCCTCCCCTCTGGGCACCTGCAATCTGTCCGCCCAGGAACCCAGAGCCTGTGGAACATGGGCAGACCTCATCCTCTTGCTGATGATGGCAAAGGCATGGCACCCACAGCTGGACATGCCGGGAATGGGCATTAGCAACGTTCACCTTCACGTACCACCCTCTAAGCACAAGGCTCCCAGCGTGTCCCGCTCCACCCCACACCTACAGACATGCCTGCAGCTCAGAAGGCTGCCTTGGAGGCCCTGCTCTGATGGGCACTGGGGACTCATTGTCTCAAGTAGTGGCTCCCGGAAGACAGGGACAGAGGAATTCTGAGGGGGCAAAGGTCTTTCCCAGATGGCTGTGTGCTCTGTGTGTGAGAAGCCTCCTGGCCAGGCCTAAAGACCCCCATCCCAGCTCAAACAGATAGGCCCCTTCACCCACATCTGGACAAGGCTTTACCTGATGTCCCCTCCATTCATGATGGTCATCACCAGGCAGAGGTCAGTCTTGGTTTCAAAGGCGTAGGCCAGAGAGACGATGAACCTGCTGTGTACCTTCGCCAAGATCTTCTTCTCAACCATGGCACCCTGGAAAGCAAGATGCTGAATAAGTGCCAGCTCCAGGCCAGAAAGTGACTGAGTTCTATAGCAAGAAGATGTCATAGGCTCCGCGCCTGTGGCTCAA